TATTTACATCTGACCAATTATACCATTTTTTCTCGGGTAATTAATTATATTTAATATAATTTATGTTTATTATAAAGAATAATAATGTTTTTGTAAGCTAGCGCATTTAATTACTTAATTTTTTTCGGCAAGAATGATAAATTTTGATTGTAATCCTAAACTCTAGTCAAATATAATTAAAACTAAATATTAAATCGGAAAAATATTTTTAAATTAAAAATTATAAATCGAACTAAAAAAAATAAAAATCTTTTTCTTTAATGTCATTTAAATAGCGGCTCTAGAAATCAATATTATGTTTTACGTACGCTTAAGATAAGAGTTACCTTTTACTCTTTTGATAAATTAATATATTTTTTATCATATTTATAGATTTTATGCTGATGAGAAAAGTCTCAGTCAAATAGCAATCTTTTGTTTTACATATATTAATATATTTAATTGATAATTGTTATATTATTTTTTTATTTATAATACTTTTTAGAACATGCTATTTAAAATTAAGTAGTGCCGCTGCAAATATTTGTACATTTATTTGTCAGCAAAATATACGAAAACATGTTGTAAACTTGTTGCATTTCTTAATAACATATTATCCATACAAGAGAACAATAACTAATTTCACTGCTAACGCGCTGATATGTTATTAATAAGCCTCTCTAAGATAATTAGACAGTATTAATAAGATTAGCACGTATCTTCATCTCTTAGAAATCGTGCGTAACACTTTCCGGTGCACGTGCGGAAGTCGAAAAGCAACGAGCATATGTACGTACGTACGGCTCCGACTTGCAAAAGAAGCACGTGTTCGACCTGCGTACGAACTCACCAATTTCACCGTCTGTGGACACATCGGCACCGAAGCGTTTTCCCAAAAAAACACTTCCATCCTCTAAAAGAAGATAACTATCCGTCGCGCCATTCAACCCAGTAGATGCAAGGCTGGGCATTTTTTAATTTTTGTCACGTCTTACTTATACATGTGCTCCGCGACACACTGCGTGTGCCGCTAGTTCGGAGCAAGCTTTCAGCCCATTAAGCGTCCAAGCTATTCTATCGAAGCGCCTGTGCGTAGCATTAAAGTGTCGTAAGTCCGCGCTACGACCAATTGGCAAGCAACGTTCCCATTTCTCTGCGCACAAGCTACAACAGATCAAGCATCGTCGTACTATCATTGGCCGTTTCTCTTGGAGTAACGTAGCGTCACACGTCTCGTTATACTGGCGGGAACATTTTATCGATCAGCACGTACGTCTCGAATCAAACGTTCCAACTTTATTCAATTCTAATTTTAGTCCGTCATTTTAGAATATTTTAGTTTGGAAATTTATGTGCATGACTTGAAGTATCTTTGTGCACGCTGAACTTTGAAACATTGAACAAAAAAAAAACTAATAATAAAAACTAATAAAAATTTATAGAAAATAAATATACAGTAGAACGAACTAGTCGTTATAATAAAATAATTCTGTTAATTTGCAAAATGTTGATGCATGATCATTTAATATATGTATATCTCGTCTTGAATACTATATAATATTCTTATAATTATATAATATCATGCAAACGGTAAGGAAATGCTGTTTAAAGATATTTTAGAAGGCTTTAATGCGTAAACAATTTTACAAACATAATTGCATTGTAATTACTAAGATAACGGTATGAAACTTAAAGATAAAGTACAAGGCAAATATGTATACGCATATTAAAGTAAAAGTAGGACGAGGGAAATAAGTTAAAAAAATTATGCCACGGTAACGAAGGACTTTCGCGTCCTAGATTAAAATATTTATATTTACAAAAAATGCAATTGCACGTCATCGATCAATTCGATCAGTAGCAAGATATATTCTTTATTTGTCGTTTTTGATAATGGAAATTATATATCACCAACGCAACGTGAGTACTCTTACGAAACAGATGCGATTAGTTTTATCAGCTGCAACGACGTCGTATTAATAGATTGATTATTTTTATCACAATTTAAATATCAGTCCCAGTTTTGAAATACGATGGATATTTCTTTTTCCATCCGATTTCCGTATCATTGAGGATACATATTGTTCGCGGAATGATATTTCTCGAATGTTAACTCGGTGAAAACTTTCAGGCAATGGTAGATTTGATCCAGTCAATATGCGATGAAATTTTGTCGTATAATCGAGGTCTCTCGAGTCCATCTTTCGAGCAAGCTATCCTCCAGCTACCAATACCAGTCAGTGCCCATCTTCGACCATCTTCTTGAAGACATAGCATTGGACTACCAGCGAGTTCTTCTTCCTGTGGAAATTTAATGACAAAGTAGTTTCGAATTTATTTGTTTTCAATCATTTTAAACAGTTTCTGCAAATTAATAAAACACTTAACAATTAAAAAAATTAATTGAGAATATTTATACAAAAAAATTTTGTCTTACGTTGCAATCGTCCGTGGAATATGCCTGCTCAGTGCAGACACTATTTACTGAGGGAATACTAATATTTTCACATTTTTCCATTGCGCTATGTTTGAGTTGTACCCTTTGCAGTACATCGCCTGTCAGAAAAAAAATATTATATATTTAATTAATTGCGTTTTAATATTTAAAATAAAGATGTTTTATATTTTTCAAAATTTAATTTATATTGCAATAAGCAGATCTTTTTATTTATGATATGCATTTTTTGATCGTAGCAATTCATTAAAAAACGTCATAATAATGTAATATTAAATAGATCTTTGATAATTAAAATTTAGTGTTTAAGATTGTTGAACTCTGTAAATTTTAAATAATTATTAATATATTAAAAAATATATAAATATATATGTCGACTGCCACATACGATTTCTCGCCCAGCCAAGAGTATTGCATTGTGTTGCGTTGCTCGGTGGATCCTCGCTAGAAGCCAGACAAACCGGTCTTACGAAATCCGAAAAGGTCGTCACCGGTCTATCTAACTTGACCAGAACAGTTGTGCCTTCCACTGGTGATTTAATCATACCGACAATCCTGCGTTCTTGTTGCCAAGGTGAAGTGCTCGAGAGTCGCACAACACCAAGTCTAGCCGACCACTCTGCTTTCGGTTGACTACAAAAATAATGGACTTGATTGAAATTAAGATACAAGAAATTCAATATTGAAATATAAAAAATATTGAATATAGTTAAATTACATATTTATACTTAAGAATTTTACGATACTAAGAATATTAATAAAACATATAAGAAAATATTTTTAATGCAACATTACTTTTTATCAAAATGTCAAACTCACCCTTGGAAGCAATACGCAGTTGTGAGTAACCAATTATCCGCTACGAGAGTAGCATCGCAAACATGAACTCCCTCCTTAAAGAGCGCAACATGCCAAGGCCAATCACCGGGTTCTGCCATCTTATTAAGGCCTTGAGTACCGCCGTTAGCACGTAGAGGTTGTATTCCGCATTCTAATTTTTCAAGAAGGCAATAAATTCATAAAAACGCGCGTTAAAAATGCGCATTAAATTACGCGTAACAATTAAAAAATAATACTTGATAGTAATAAACGCTTTAGTGATATGTATAATTGCGTCAACATTTTTATTTAACATATATGTTTATATAATACATTAGAAGAATAGAAAATACATACCGAGATCGGAGCAGTGGACGTACAGGACTTCCTTGCTAGGACAAGGAGCCCTGACAAAAGTGATTTCTGGCGCTGATGGATCTTCCATGTACACGTACGGGACATCTTCTTCATCGTCAATTTTTACCTCAACGGAAGCTACGCCACTGTATTAAAAAAGTACAAGAAAAATAATTTGTAAGTTATAAGATTTCTTCTAATTAAGCAAAACAAATCAATCTTAGCTATAAAAAGATACTCACCCATATGTAAGCAAATTGCATAATGAGCTCGCTGCCGTTTGCAGAACATTATTGATTTCTGTTTCCGGTAAAGTAACGTTCAAGTTTGCCGTGCAAAGTTTGCCGATGGTGCCTTTCTCGTTAAATACGACGTAGCCCTCTTTATTGTATTTCGCGGTATGCGGTGTGTTCCAAGATTGCGATCTTAATGCGTGAACGCTCGGTGCCAAAGACACTGCAACAAAAATATACAATAAAGTACACTTACTTTGATTTTTGCAGTATTCTAATTTTATTAAAGATAAATTAATAGTCACAATATTATTTATATAAGATAAAATTATTAATTTCTCTCTTGCTGCTTTGATATATTAATAGAATATTCTGTAGCGTTTCTTTCTCACGAGAATTGCTAATGAGACTTGATCTTATTATTTGATAATAGTATCAAACACGTGTATTATATACTGTGATATATTACTTACAACAGTCTTTCTCATCGCTGCCATTCGGACAGTCTACCTTGCCGTCACATCGCTTTGTATGCGGTATACACGCTCTTCCTACTCCACAATGCATGTAGCCGTCTCGACAATAGGCACAATTCTTCTCATCCGAAAGATCTGGACAGTCGATCACGCCGTCGCAAATTCGCGGAGACAAAGCTTTCGACTGAAGCCCCTGCACGCATCCTATGTTAACATACATATATTTTTATTAATTTAGGAAATACCGCGCTTAATCTAAATTTACAGAGCATAATTTCGCTTAATGTTATACTATTTTATAACTAATCGCACCTGGCTTCGGCCTGCAGCTGCCGGGATCGGCGTATTCAGGAAAGTTCGAGCAGTCCAAAGCGCGTTTTATCTTCTCGGGAAGACGGCTACCGCATCCATTCCAAAACTCTCTACAAAAACTCCTGCAGGGCAATTGTAGCAAATCCTCCGGTTGACTTGATCGACACGCAGGCTGCAGCACCTGGCAAACGAAGTCGTAGGCCGATGGATAGCATTCCGCGTCCACTAGTTCTCTAAGTTCAACATATTAATTAGATAAAACATGATCAATTATTAATTTAAGGGCGCGATAAAAAGAAATAAATTTAGAATTAATTAGAATAAAGTCAGCTTTTTGGTGCCTTATAAAAAAAGTATTATATAATTAGTTTGCTACAAAGTTAACAATTAAATATAAAATATAATTAAAATCACTTTCTTATTTTTCATTTTAATACATTTTTTGTTAATAAAATTAATAGATTTTATGGCATCCAAAATTGAACAAAATTTATAGTTTTTGTTAAGAATGCAAATAAATAAGGCAACAATCATAAATTCACTTTTTTCGATTGAGATATTATGAGCACACTAGAAACTTATATAGTCTAAAAAAACGTACCTAAAAGCGATAACATCTTCCTCGACATCTGCCAACGATCGATGCCCCAATATATTCGGGTACGAGCTGATGTTATAAGGGAGATGTTTACAATAGGATAAATCTAGTTTGCTGCATCTTCTCGGCGGAGGGGCTGTCGTCGTCGGCGGTAACGTCGGGACGGTCGATTGCGAACTGCTCTGCGCATTCAGGGCTGTTAGACTTTCTTGCACTTCGAGGCTCTTCGCCTCTATCGTCAAATTCGTTAGATACTTCGAAGTTTCGGGATTTATTTCTCGTGACAAAATGTCTACGATATTCCCGGTAGTTATGGTCTGATATCGCGGATCGAACCTCACATCAAAATGCACCACCAAGTCGCGGCCTTCCACTCTAAAAATGTATAAAACATATAGGCACATTTGAAAATGAATACATTTTAAGATTTATTTAAGCTCAAGACAATTTAATGTCCGTAATAAAAAATAATACACAGAGCCATAGTTATTATTTTTTTTAACTCTTGCTGAATAAAATATTATATTATAACTTATTTATATAGAATTTTAGAATTTTAAAATTCTTCAAAAATTTGTTGATTAAAATATAATATATAATAAAATATAATTTCAAATTTTTGACTAATACAATTCTATAAAATCGTAACTCATTTCGTAGAAAATCGGTGAAGATAAATCGATAAAATTTACAAGTCTGAATGTAATACATAATTAATGCAGCCACAAAAATGATGCTACATCTCATTGCACACCAAAAGGAGCAAGTGTCGTGAAATCACGAGAAAGCTGCAAAACGATCTCGTGCGATTTCTCTCCCGCGCGCAGCCTCCTAGCTATTTTTATGGATTCTACGATATCGATTAGTTTCGTCCCATCAGTTCCTTCTACGTAAACTGATTTCTCGAGAAGAACGGGAAAACTAGTCGAAAGAGAGTTCATGACAAGTCTTGTAATTATCCAGTTTTTTCAATTTCACACGCGCTCGCCGTTGAATGCTGTTGCGTAATTTGTTTTGCTAGTATCTTTAGATAAGTCTTACGAAACAACCCGAGAAAATGATAAGCGAACGTAAAAGAATAAATGTTTGAAATCTAAACAAGATAATAGGTGAATCTACGAATATTCGAATATCGATAGCATTAGTTAATGTATTGATAAAGTTTTGTTACCCGTCAAGCGCCAAAACTTCTGCTGCGAGGAACGATATCTTTAGCCAGCTGCGGCGAAAGATAAGATTAAGACGATCGCGATATTCTCGCGATCGTATTCGAAAGGCCTCTGTAGAAGGGTCTGCCAGTTCCGCGGTGAAGGAATCACCTTTGGTAACTCGAAATGTTGCGAGAAATATCTGATCACCGGGTGGATCCGAAGTGAGGAACGTATCTAAAATAAAGGAATACTTCATTTTATTATTATTAATTAATAACGTAAAAGTAAATTAGAAAAACTTCACAAATTTTAATATTAGACAAAAAGTTTGATAATTGAGAAGAAATAGCGAATTTAAAAATAAGTACATCAAATTTTCGACACAAAGTATGGGCGCATGGTGCATATAAAAAATAAAAACAACTCTTAAAAAAAGTTATAATTAATAAGTTGAGTTGTAAAATTTCTTTACAATATAATTTCATTTCCGTGCATATCAATCATATCAACAAACGTATTATTTAATAAATTGTATTAATCAAGAAAAAAAATGATTACTAGCAATCTATAGTAAATAATTAACATCTACTGGTTCATTATTAGTCATCCTGCGTCTTTATGCGACATCATATATTATATCCATTGTGATAAGAAAATTATGATTATCAAACGACTTGACCGATAAACATCCATAAAGAGGAATTTAGAACGTCGCAACGCGCAATGAGACACAATTCTTACTACAATTCGTTATACGTTACAAGCTGACTTTCTAATGTATGTATCGGACGTGTATCGGCAAATTATAGAGTGGAGTGCGCAAAATGTGCCAACAATATTGCGCTACGGAAGGCGGGTTTCGCTCCTCGAGCGCTGTCATTACAACTTCGGTGTGGCCAATTTTCCACGCGTCAGGCAAAACGAGACAAATCGGGAGCACACAAACGCCTGTAGGGATTTCGGTTCTCACCTAGGAATTAGCTTTCACTTGCGACGCGTGAATTGGTCGGCGAGGACATTTCTTTTGACACACTGATTATAGCTACGAGCGGTGAAATATTCTTTTCAGAGATAACAAGATAATCGTGAAGGTTTTTGAAATTACTTTACCATATTTAAAGCATTTGCGTTGAATTTTAAGCAATTTTTTTATTCATGCAGATGTATATTTTATTTAGAACTACGTGCGTTTTTATAATTTCCTTCTAACATCTTCTCAAAGATTTATTCATCTCGTTTTTTAAATTTATATAAATTTTTATTCAACATTAGAGATATAAAATTTGTAAGAGAAAAAAGCAAATTTTGATAAATTAGAGAAATAGATTTTCATCTTTTTCGTAAAATGAAATAAGTAAAAGGTCAATCTTCGACACTTCAATTCATCAGCTATGCTAATGTTAGTTCAATATTTATAGAATAGATTCCTATGTCACAGGATCAAAATGTTTCAAGGACACGGATCCCCACCTTTAAGGTCGAGCATTGGACTGGACACATGCCTATCGGCTCGATAAGTCGGTCAGACCGTTATACGTTTACCGGCTGGAAGGCCTCAATGGACCGGCACGTTCCACGCAGCATCTTCCGTGACCTCTTATTCCTCTCGGTCGTAAACACGAATTAAGCGAAGATGACTCCGTGCTGCTCGCCGTATCACGTGGATGCAAATGTGTGTTTGTGTTACTCATTGCCGGCAACGAGCCGAGTTTAAATCGGTGTAAATCATTTTAGATCAATTTGCGATATGCTCGCTCGCGCAAGCTTTCAAGTAAAATCATAGCGCGGGAAATAAACACACGATGCATACGTTAAAAATGATCGATCAAAAGCCGACTAGATGGAGCGTATGAGTGAAGAGTGAAGAATGAAAAGGCAGGAAGAAGGTGATGCGGCCAAAGCCCATTGAGGTCTTTCAGCACACGAGCATAACGGTCTGACCGAGTTACCGAGTATTCGAAGAAGCGGTAAGTATGTATTCTTGATGAAACTTTTTCCTAGTAGTCACGTTAGATTCTGGAAAAATCGATGTCATTCTTAGAAAGGGGAAAAGCGCATTGTCATCAAAAGGGGAATATTTTAGTCGTGTGAGAGAGTTATCGTTATCATTTACTTTCCTAATTCGCTTAAAAGGTAATTCCGTTCAACAAATTGAACAAAATTTTTCGTGTACATTTTTCTCAGAAAATTAAGTGAGATCTTTTCCGTAAAATAAAAGTGCGAATTTCCGCGTGCAATTAGTTTCCACAATTTATTCCTCTGGGAATAATAACGTTGCGAAGAACGGATTCTAATGTAACGTGACGCGAGTTAACAGTTATCTCGCTCCTTGGCATCTTGTTGTAATGTGCAACGCGCGTATGGTGTGCGCGACGAGCGTGATACCAAGGTGAAGTGCACGCGTCTACAAGGAAACGCCATTCATTCGAACAAAGCGAGTCGCCGTCGATTGCACTTCACAGTCCGTGAAACGTTCACGCACCGTGAACGCATCCGTCGTCCCGGCGTTGCCAGGATAATTTCATGCCCGCTAGGCTGCCGATTGCCGGTTAACCGTGGTAAATAATTTCATTTGCGTCGGTACCCATCGCGCGTAGATGCAAAAGCCGCGAGGGAAAGCGGCGGAGCGCTCGCGTGACGAAAATGTCTCGGCGATGCCCGGTGGACACGCGTACTTGGGATAACATTGCAGAGAGAATCGCAAGAGTAACCACGATGGTATACATTTCGCATAATGCGCGATTTATCATCGCTAATACGAAGCCGATTAAATCGGTCGATAAAACGCTCACTTTCTAAGAAAAAGCATCGCTCTCAAGCAACTAATCTCTCTGCGTGAAGTAACTCTTTAAATTGCAAAAACGGGATACTGATCTATTCTTCCTTTGATCTCCGATTTCTCTCTTCGAAATATTTATGAGAATAAAAATCCTGGCTGATAAGCATCTCCGCAAATACGCAGAATAAATTTAATCTCATTAAACGATTTTGCGTAGAAATTTTTCAAGCCTGTGCCTGTTTTCTAAATGTTTTATAGATTCTTATATTGCTTGTTGAACTGCAGCTCTTGTACTTACAGCCGAGGTATATGGAGACACCCGAGAAGAGGAGAAAGAGCAGGAAAGCAGCGAGGACGCAACATCCGCAACGATACTGGCCGCCGAGCTTCCTTGTGAAACGGATGTCGCTGTCGGATGACAGGATTGAGCTTGGTGTCCCGGCACGGCTGAATCTCCTTGTACTCACTGTGCTCACCGAAATCTACGGAAATGCAGACACACTTGTGTTTTAGATTGATGGTTTAATTAGCAATTTTAATTGCGGTCAGTGCGTTATGAAAAATAAATACACTGCTCGGAACAATTAGAATCACACTTTTGAATAACGCAGATTAAATCAAATACTAAATAAAAAAACTCTGAAACATAACAAAAATAGGCGAAAATTAAAATTATATTATATTATTACAATGGGAGAGAAATTTTTTTATATTTCTATTAGATATAAATATAAATTTGATAAAAAGTGATCACCTAATCGTTTCAAACAATACACACGTATAGAATGTAGGAAGTGAAGAATAAAATGAAATGTCACTCGCAATCAGAAATAAAATAAAACTAAGGCGTTAAAATAAAGTGTTAGTCATGGTTGTCGTGATGTCAATCGCCTTTTATAATAAAACGATTCGACATATATATTCCTAATATCTTTGCATTTCCTGTGTATTTAAGATAATATTTTCTGCAATGAAATAAAGCCCCCGTAACGGCAGGGCGCGTTACGAAAGCACGATTGCGGAAACTATTCAGTAAATAATAGTAGGCGGTGTCTCTCCGCTGATGAAACATTCCACTCCCCTGTACCATCAATAAATTTTTATCAATTCGAGAGAACGTGGAACACTGTGATTGCGGCACGACTTGCATTAACGATCGCTTCCGTCTTGGGACAAAGCGAGACGATCGCAATTCGATCGATAAGTTTAAGCAAGCTGTGCAAATTGAACCACTTAATATTAGAACCTAATATATATGTATTTAATTTTTGTACGCTCTTTCTTTAAGTATCTCAATCTGAAATCGGTGTACATTTTAATGTCTCGATGTAGACAATAATAAGTTTCAGTTATATAAAAAATAAATTATTTTGCACCAGCAATCGCGACGGCTTCGTAGCCATTATTATACCATATTTAATAGATTAATATATAATTTCTATCGTTTCTCTAGTGATACAAAAAAATCCATTTTTGGAGAAAAGCATCCTAAGTTTTTAATGAAATTTTGTTAATGCGATAAAAATGCACGAATAAATAGAAATATCCGTAACGGCATCTTATATATAGCCACTCTATAAATAACCAGTCTTTTATGTAACGGTATTAACTAGATTATATGATTGATACGCGTTGCAGATATTGCGTGCAAGACGGACACGCGTTGCGACCGCACGCGTCCGTCTGCGAATTCACTCGGTCGACGCCTAAGTTCGCGGGCATATGCAAGCGTCCGTGTAATCGCTCCTCGTACGATGCACCTTCTCTGCATGCAACGTTCAGTCACAATGAGACTCCGCGCTATGCCTACGCCTTCGTCGTTCAAATGCTACGGTCGGCACACGCTCCGGTGCGAAGGATCGCGCCTGCGAGCAAGAAGAGTAACCGCGAGTGCCTGGATACGACTGCTGCAAAGGTCGCACAGGACTAAAGGCCACAACCCGCCTAAATAGCGAAATAGCTTATTTCCGTGGAAATGTAACAAGCGTTTTTCAATAATACACAACGGAATAAGAAGTTAAATATTGTAAATTCCGTTGTATGAACTGTGCTTGCTAAAGAGTACATAAACGCTACATTATCTTCAACCGTTTTATTAAACATGTTGGATGACCGAAATGTAGGCAACGATCTGAACGTTGAGTAATATCTGGATACATACATCTGTGAGAGCCGACCGATTTTCTCACGTACATATGGGAACCGTGCTTAAACACAAACATGTATTACGTAGTCTGCTGGCAAACGAGATATTATCACGAACTCTATTTTCAATCACTTCCGTGGTGCACGCCTGAGCAGCCATTATCTAATTACATGAATTACGGCGATACGGATACACTCTCGCAATTACAGAATTCACGTTTATTAAACTGAGATTTGCGCTTTAATTCAACTTCATGTATAAAAATATGACAAATTGAGGTAAATATTGGACAAAAAAAATACTGAAAAGACAAATTGAATTATGACAGCAAATCGTACAAAAATATTTACTACTTTGTCGTTATATAAAACTGATTTATAAAAATGTACGCTATGCATATGGCTGTTATGAAACTGACGATAGCACAATGAACTCAATGCAATAAGTTGGCTTTCATTTGTGGATGTCAGCTTTGCGAATAAAAATATCTCGATCTTTTTACTTGTTCCGCACGATCGACTCTGATGTAATATGGACACTGTTGAAAACGACAAGTATACTATAAATATTTTATTTCTTCTTCGAATTCCTTTCACAGTCCGTAATTCATGATGTAATATAATTAAATATTATAGAATCGACTACTTGAAAAAAAATATTGGAAAAATTAACAAAGCAAATTTTAAAAAATAGATAAAATTAATAATAATGTTTGTAAAATTATGTATAGATATTACAAATATTTTAATCATATATTTAAATATTAAAAGAAGTAAGAATGAATTACTAAACATAAAAATCATGCTTGAGAGAAAAGTAATTAGAAAGAGATGATACGCAAAAATATTTACACAGCAATGAGGAAGTTTGTTTCAAGTTTCAACACAGATAATTAATGTTTAATGTCAATCAAAGGTAAGAGCATTTCGTTTGTTGATCGTTGATTGTTACGTAAGGTTTACGATAGTGGCAAAACTAACGAACAATGGCGCGAAAGACATTACGAAAGTCGAACGAAAGTTCGCGCGCCATGTCTACGCTATTCCAGCCTTGTTTGGTGTTAGCTCTGATACATTTGTTGGAAAGTCTTTCCCGTCTTTGTGCAATATATTCTTTACACGTGGGACTCCTACAGTGAAACAATAAATTGCAAGTCAGGCATGACTACAAGCTTTCCCTCCACGAAAAACCAAAAAAGATCAGTGGTTACGTTTGAATAGTGTGAAATAAAAATGTTTCGCAATTCTTCGACTGCGAGTGCAATAAAGCGGAAAGGTCAGGAGAATAATCTTCCGCGAAAACAGAAACCTTTATATGTCAAAAGATATGTGTCTATTCCCGCGACAAATAAATAATGAGAGAAAACAAATTTTAACACATAAAAGAGAAAATATTGAAAAATATTTTTGATAGTTTTTATTATGATTTATTTTATTCAGATTATTTTATTAAGATTTAGAATTTTAAATTATTAAAAATTCTAAATCTTATATAATACACATCGGCTTATTTTAAAAATAAAACTTGGAATCGGATAATCACATTTTGTGCTAAATGCGGCGCAAAATAGAGGTACAAATGTAAACTTCCTCTTTTGGCTTGAATTAAATTCTTATATAATACCTTATATTATATAATTACTGCAAAAAACATATGTGTGCGCGATAATGCATTTATTTGTGGATCAGCGTAAACAAATAAGCCATTATTCCCAGAAGAAAGGAAGTGCACAAAGAAGAAAATGCAAATGCCAGGTAGATCGACGCGGTTGACCGCAGTTGTGAGTTTTACCGATCTCGATAATGGGCTGTTTCGCGCTTGAGACGAGCCGATCCGATCTGGACGCACCAGATTGGAAAGTAGAATTTAGTGTAGATAAACGCAGTGCTTCAGTAGCGATTGCAGAAAGAGATTAAGACACGCTCGAACTGGCCAGGGTTTCGAACTCCTCCGTTAAATAGGCGCGGTCAACGGCTTCAAGGCCGGGAAAAATTAGACATCGACGATGAAAGAAAAGCGCTTTTCATGGCCAGAGACTTTTGTGAAAGTTCACGACTCCCGCACGTCCCTCCCTCACATCTGTTCTCCATCCACTAATAATGGGCCGATGCTTAATGATCGTTGCAAATCGATCTATTGAAAAGCTCCTTCAATATAGATAGAGATTACTTGCATTCCGTAATGAGATGATGAGTCGAATTTATTATGCTGTGAAGCCGAGTATGAAGAGAAACTTTGTTTTTATGTAAAAATAAATGCACGTTAGAAAGATGAGTTTCTATTTAATGGTTGAAAAGATGATTTAAATGACCGGCCGCCATTAAAGTATAATGAAAATATTATGCAGTGGTATTTTAAATTAACGATACCAACTCATGGATCTTAGTAAAAAAAAAAAAAACATAGAACTCTGTAACTCTTTGTTCTTCATGCAATATTTTTACATAATATTTTATGATGAACATTTAAATATAAAAATACTACTCTTACATAAAATACGAAGTGAACTTTTTTTCTGTGGCTAGAAAACATGTTGGCTGATTGTCAACTGTGAAAAGCCAGTGTCAATGACCGGCGGAAAGAATCTATAGAACATCATCGAAGCTACTGTTCTCTTGTGACTTTCTTGACCGTTATAACCGTTATACCAAACGCCAGACCACCTTCCCAAAAGAGAAAGAATCTAGAAACGAGTTTCTGACCGTTTTAAATTACAACCCGCTCAGTCATATTGTCCATGTGATGCTAACTCCTCAAACGCAACTCCGTATTACTCAGCAAGAAGCAATCGCAAAAGACGATCGTGGAACTCCAATTTAGAATTTGTTATTCTCATCATTAAGATCCTGTTAGAATATGTAATTACTGACCTGAATACATAATAGCTTGAAATAATTTTGTAGAATTTTTACTAAAGATAGCCTGAATCGCATTAGAAACGAAGTCTATAAAATCGAAGTATATAAAATAAGGAAACATTTTAACACGCGCGTCCACATCAGTCTAAATTAATTCATACATCCTTCACTAATATTTGTTAAGATTTTTGTATATGCTTTATAAATTATTCCATATTTTAAAATATTTTAAATTCCAGAACTTAATGTAGCTGAACACTAATAGTTTAACACTAAAACAAAGCATCTTCCAGAAGCAACGTGACAGAAAAGAAATAATTAAATAAAAAAGATAACATTATTGCGCACTTAACTCTTATCATCGAATAAATAGCGGAACATTGACAGATATAAGATTATCGACGAGGTCGATAACTCCACTTCCTGATACGCAATCTCGAGCTAAGCACGACGATCGATTACTACCGTTGCGCGTCAGCTGAACTTGATCGACGAGACAAACGACAGGCGTCACGTGCGATCTTCTGGAATACCAAGTGCGATCAGGCGTACGTAAGGTAACGGTATCAGGCATAGAGAGAGAGCAGATGACGACAGTCCAACCCAAGGCGACCCAACCCAGCTAACGACGCATCGCTCTCCATTCCAGCCAGCCTAGTTCTTCTCGTCAACCCGCCGCCGAGTGCGTAGGTATCGCGACGACGTGCGCGGCTGGGGTCATTGGAGAACAAGGTCAATCGGTCTGGAGATGAAAACCGGATGGAGTCAGACTCCTCCAGCGAGAAACGAGGAAGAGGTGGGCCAGGTAGCGCGCGACACAAATTACTCCCGCGGTGTGAACGTGTTTATATTTAGCCCCCTCGCAATTAATACGCCGTGTTGTTGACGAAATCTCGCGGATTGAGCGTTGTCGCGCGATCATTTAACGTACCGCTTTGCAGAAATTTCTCCGTTTCCATTTCGAAAGATGAATTATTGAAAGGAGTGACGTCAGCGCTTGCAGAATTCTTATTCACTCGGAAGTGATTGTTCTCGCATCATCCGTCTTTTCTTCAAAGAACGATGGAAAAAGATCGACTATATCTTTAATTTTACGCACAGATATTTGCGAAACACTATAAAAAAAGACGAGATTAAACGATTCCGATGGATCTTGGCTGTTGAGCAATTCTCCGCTTGTTAACATATTTTATACAAGTTTCGAATACGCAATTTTACAGGGCTTTACATAGGCAATGTAAAATTGTTGATAAACGGTGTCTACGATCATTTTGCGGACGGCAGTAACCAACACAACCGCAAAAAAATAATCGTGCGGTATCTATTTGCAATTTGCAACTCGCGAGCCGCTTCGATGCGTCTCGCCTTTCCATCGTCTTTGCACGCACAGCGCTGAATTTGAAATCAAATCTATTTCCATATTAAATATTCGAAGCATCTCACGAGATATCTAGGTTCCTAGATATTTCTGAATCTTAATTCGAAAGGTGCGTAACATTTTATATAAAAATAAAAATTATCATACATTTTTGTGCTCAATGTAATATCTTAATATCAATTATTTAATTATATAAACTTAATTAATCAATCTATTTATGAAATTATTAGAATAATCAAATCAATTATTTAATTATGCAATTTTCTTCACTCGCGGTGAATCTGTGTCTTAATAAAAATGAATGTGTATCCTAATAAAAATGTTTGTTAAATAACAAATAATGATCAGGAAATGTGTATCCAGAAATCGAGATGTTGATGATTTCAACTTTGAACATTCACTGGATATCGTGCTGCATGAGTTCAAGGTTAATACCTTCCCGCGGCAGTCCCATTAGCCTTTCGATGGCCTTTGCATTGCGTCGCAACGCGAGGGGAAATTAATCGGAGAAATTAATCAAAGAACGAAGGCAAGCATTAATGCGTGTGTGACGCGCGACGCGACTTTCACCCAAGTTATTGTGTGGAGTTGATACACACGAAAGGATGTCGTTTTCTTACAGCTGGTGGTTTACTTTGACACAATCTCTAGAAACAGAATTAATTCATTTTGCCCCAGCGAGCTAAAAAAATATATTATACGCTGTGAGAGTTAATTAAATTGATCAGAATTGCGCTTTCTCGCCGGTTCGCCATATGCAATGCGTCGAATCAAATGTCAGTCTGGAAGCGGCGAATTATGGGAGCCGATTATTTTCATTCCGCGATTGTTCCCGTGCCTGTCCTCGTGCGCGATCTCTTCTAGATAATAATTGAAGAGGCGGGTACCTCATTTTCGAAATGAATGTTTGCAAGGCCTATAAAACACCAGCTATGAAACAAAACAAAAAAAAAAGAATAACGCTGCATCGGACAATGAGACATTACGTCATTTCACGTTCTCTGTTCATACAAGATACTTTAATGGAACTAAAAGGCGTAGGCGGCAATTTCGAACAAAGAAAATGCTCGATATGCAGTCACAAAGTTCACGATGTGCTTGAAATATTCGCGCATGCATGCATTCATTCCGAATGATCTGTTCCGAGATTCCGCTGGAATGATTATCGAAAGGTCGCGGATCGATTCCGAAGAAACTGGAAAGCGTCCCGAGCACATAAACATTCATCACTCATATACCTTCGCTGTAACGAACAATGCATTCCTCGGCGCGCGATTCATATTCCAGCGCGCCGTTGAATTTCCACAAGCGGTTCATCGCTGAATTCGCGACGTTTTTTTCGCACGGAGGCCCACTCCCCTAATTACTAAACGCGACGGAATAATGAAGAAAGCGCGTATCGCGAAGGGAAAGTGCGCCACGTATTCATATCTCACCTTCGAGTCCCACGAACTCTTCCGCTTGTGCTCCATCGAGACGGTCATTTTTTTCCTGATCGTTTCGGCGACTTTGTCAGCGCTCCTCCAGTACTCCGCCGGCACCGGGAGTTACGCGGATCATTGTGGATTCGTTCCCTCGAGCGTATCGTCGGAGACTGTCGGATCTCGGGAGATGACTACTCTTCTCTCGTCTGTCTCCAAGGTTTTCAAGAGGGTCTGCGAGGCTGGATATCGGCAAGATGCATTTCCTGCGCGCCACCCACTTATCTCTTCCGAGAGATATCAACGTTCTGATTGCTGCGCGAAAGAAATGCTTAAAGTGAGCGACTGGAACAATTATTCTTCAGGAAGTGTTGGGTTTATGGATCGGCATTTCTTAATGAATGCATGCCGAGCGTATATATTGTCGGAGGAAGTAATACGAGGCGCGTAAATAATACGATGATTTACCGTTGTTAAGACTTCCGGTATCTCACTCGCACAGAGTGCCCCGTTCTTGAGACCTAAATATTTTATTGCTCTCATATTTCCGGCTTTTTTGGAAAATGCTCATAATTGCGTGTTGCAATTAGTTTAATAATAATTCCTTATATATATTATATTCCTATATATATTCCTTATATATATAATAAAATCTTATCAAGAAAGTGTAACAGAAACGGATTTCGTTGGCAACATGTGATGTTAATGTGAAAAATAAATTCCATTAACATAGTTATATTGCATATCTTGAAAGATAATCTCTTTTACGCATATTACTTCTTACACTTGCTGTATAAATAATATTTTTAAACACTGCCACGAGATGTAGGTGTCAATCAATACAACGTGTTTATTCATAGATAAGCGAAAAAAATGACATAAATGCTTGTATGGATAAAGTTTTCATTGTATGTGACATCATTATGTACATAACATTAGTATGTATTTAATTTTTGAATACTTTTATATAATTTTCTGTTTCAAAAGTAAGCACAAAAGTAACTGGTTTTATTTTAATTTGAAAGAATATCGGAAGTTACTGCAGATCTAAGATAAAAATCAGTTTGATATACGAGTTAAATAAAAAGAAAAGGAAAATTGTGCAAATCCTACACGAAGATGCTGATATTATATAAAACATTTCTGTTACAATTGATTAATAAAATGTATGTGATAGTTTAGAATACTATATAAACAAGTTTTATGTTATATCTGTAAACCTTGAAAGAGCGCTCCTTTAATCTGCTTTGTTATTTCAAACTGTTGATCACAATTTTAATAATTTTTTCTCAAAACAATTAGAAAAATAAGACATTCTCTTATTTTACGAATCAAATCTATACAAATTACAACTAACTAAAATGTAAAATATATAAAACATCATTAAAACTTTTTATAATTCCTCACACAAACATTACATCAAACAACCGTATGCTGAATTTGCTTTATCGTACGAGTGTTCGAGACATACAGTCGCTCAAAATAGATTCAATCCTTTCTGTTTTTTATATTCCTACCTGAATTATTATACGCTGTGCAAAGAAGAATCCAACCACTTTGATCGAATAATCGATGGAGCACGCGCTTTTCACAAAATTCCCCGGAAATCACCTCGCCGAAAATTGTGGAGAGATCACCTACGCGACACGCGTGCGAGTAAAAGGCAGGTGCGAGCGGGCCGTCGCTCGTAGATCGCAGCTGCGGAGAAAACACGCTCGAGGAAAGGAGGCGACTGAGCGGCCGCGCGGCGAGCGAGACGTTCGCCACTCCGGGCGAGCACTCGGTATCGTCGAGAGGCAGACAATTTCTCCAGCGGGGCCGGCCGCGATCCAGGGGATTGTCCTGGACGAGGCGAGACTGCTAGGAGAACGGTGGCCTGCGCCTGCCTGGCCTGCCTCGTGGATGCACTTTCACGTCATTACCGGTTCTCCACGGGGGCACACAGTTGCGGACTAGTCCGGAGCAAGGACGCCTGTCTCTCATCTCGCCCTGGCTCTCCCTGTCCTTTCTTCCATTCGCCCATCTCTCGTTCCTGCTTGTATCTCTTTGTTTTTTTTTAACTTTCGCGACGCCTCTCTGTTTGGTTCCTCGCTAAAGAGACTTCTTTTATGATTTTGCATCCCTTTGTCGATCACGTTTGCTCCTATTTTTGTCCATTTGATCTGTCTTTTCTCTTGTTCTATTCACAGTTTTAATTACTCGCCTGTCTTCACACTTTGCTCTCTAAACCTCAGCTATTTTTCTTGTTTATGTCCGCTTAATTACATGTCCGTTATTTTCTTTTTCAAAATGACTATATTTTAACCTTTCTTCTATCTTTTCATTCATTAGCTCTCTTTCTTTACTTCTCGCGACCTTATGCATCTCTTTGTTAATTATGCAGGCACCGTGAATGATATTTATAATGTTCGATAGATCAAAAGCAAGCAAACGGCAAATCTCTAGCAGGTGTTTCGCCGAGGCATTTAGACAGACAACCGTGCATAAATGTCGCAACAAAATCAATCTTTTAATCGGCCGAAGAGTTTACGGTAATTTACTCCCACGATCTTAAGTTAGACGCAACGTGGAATTGTTCTGGAGCGGCGTTCTGGATGCACTTTCACGTTATTATCACTGATGCTCCAACACACATATGTGCAGTATTCAAGCAAGATACCGTTTCAGATCTTTTTTATTACTGCATCTACTGAATCTACAAGCAATTAATTCCATCATCAATATCATCACGTAAAATATGCCTCGCTTGCGAATTCTATTTTTTCTTACTTTCTCAAGATATCTGAACAAATCGTTTGTATTTCTTCTTTGTACAGCGTAAAAATCCGTTAATAAATATAAATCGAGCAAAAACTCATAATTTCTATAAGAAAAATTTATGTATTTCTTTCTATTTGAATGTAATATTTTCTTAAGATATATTAAAATGCAAATACAACATCTTCAACGAACGATAACTCGCTCTGTTGACAGAAAACGAGTCTTGCTTAAACAGAAAAATACTTTTTAACATACTACATGGAGTAACGATATTTTATTAACACAAATAGCTATAATTCAAGGGTAACAAGAACAGGTTTTGGAATCAGTACGATGAAATAAATATACGCGTTTCTCATAGGATGCACATCGGTGAAGTGTTAAATTAGCTATAAAAGAGAAACAAAATATTTTGAAGTGCGATTGAGCAAATTGAATCTTCATATCGTTATATATTATTAGATAATATCATTTTAAGTAAGCAAGCATTAATTTGTATATAATAAAATTAGTGCAATGACTGGGACGTGAATTTAGAGAGAAGTAATTTTAAATATACTTCTCAAAAAAGAGCTATTATTTTGTAATATAAATCAAAATCAACATAACTTTTTGATTTTTTTCAAGTATATGTGACTCCTTTTTATTATATGTAAAATTTACGGTATTAATATTCCCTTTCAGTATACAAAATACGGATAGAATTTGATACTTGAATGCAACGTCTTATATCATCTCGATTTCATGTTCAGACGACTACTCTGACTTGATTACGAAAGCAACGGTGATCCGTGCACTGCTAATGAAACGCAAATACAGGAGGCATACTCACAAATAGAAGCCACGATAAGCCTTATTCAGATGGGAATTCAACCGTAAAGATTACATTTTACCGTTATAAAACTTTATTCTTCGAGTCACATATGCTTAAAAAAAATCTACATAATCGATAAATATCATCAATAAATTCATGCAAATGGCATCAATAGATCAATTATTATAACATAATTTTCACTGCATCTTAATGCTGGAATATCAATTATTCAGACTGTTATAAAATTACATATTTTTATTACAATTGATTTATCAATCAATACTTTAATATATTATCAGAGAATAAAAAATATTTCGAAAGTATCACATATCAATAAGAGGTGTTTGTCTATCAAAACTGACAGTTTACATTAATTTATATATTGCAAATATCTTTGCCGCGCGTGACAAAGTATTGAAAACTTCAAGCGGGACTTTATATCAAAGACCGCGATTATTTTAAATCACAAAAATATTCCAACGGCAAAAGAATGTGGAAAGACGAGTTGAAAGAGGCCAAAGGAATATAAAAAATATCGCGATAGCAAACCTCTATTTTTAGACTTACCTGTGTACTCAAAGGGAGAGCCTCAACTCTCCCAATTTCAGTAAAACTGCCTCCATTTCTCGCATCAACAGTTTCGTTTCTCCAAGCTAAAAAGAGATTTTTCTACAGAATTTAATCACTTTATTCAAAACGAAATTTCACGCTCTAATCAGTTTTTTCCCCTCATGCAAAACACTGTCCTCGTTCCGACACTAACGTTGACGACAGCTGTCCGGAAGTGGCTGTCGGGCCCAGTTTTTAACGCGCCTTCCGTGCTCGAAGGAACAATTCCTCACGAGGGGCCTCTTTCTTCGTGTCGCATTAAGAAACAACCGTTAACGCGAGGTACGCGGGCCTTCGTGAGGTACGCACGAATGTACACCGTGCGAGAGTCGACCAGCGATTGATGACCCGACGATGCCGTGCGCGGTACCTTTCTCCGATCAGGAGAAGAGAACGAAGGATGATGTCCCACGACAAATTGTGCGTGTCGATGCCGTGTAACGTTTTACACTTGAGATACGGCCAGCCGCTCGCCGAGTCTGGTAAGTGAAAGTCTCGCTGAAATTATTTTTCTGCAACATAAACATTAATGCCAAAACAGATAATCTTAAATACTCGCATGCAGTTGGTCAGTAAAGCTTGTATTCTTCACGCGAGTTAATATTATCGACGCGTTTTATCTTGCTCCTACGTTTTCTGAAAGATAGATTTCTTACCTAAAATCAATACAATTTATTTATGAGCATTAAAAATTTATAAAAAATTGTATTACACGAGAGCTTAGATCACACTTTCCAATTAATGACACAAGTTGACACAAATCTTTCTCTTATATCATTCTGTTCGATATTGAATATTGAATATTGAACGACTTGTGTCATCAGCTGGAAAGCGGCCTTGTTTAATGTCTTATCTGTCATCTAAATCTATAAAAAAAAATAGTAATTATTCAGACTTTTAAAATTGAGGGCTGCATGCGTAGTTTCTGCTATTAAAAATAATCATAAACACATGAATTAATCTCCATTGTTATTCGCGCAATTTGTATTATTGCAAAACAGAAGCAATAATGTAACAACGGAGATGTAATTTTTCGGTTAATTTTATTTTTATGGACAGTTAAACGATACATGTACATGTGTGTACGAATTACATGTGTCTTAAATTTAAAACATCGATATAATGTTTATATGCTCGGGTGAATATCATATTAGGCGATTACATACAGGCGATACATATACATGTGTGTACGAATTACATGTGTCTTATATCTAATACATCGATATAATGTTTATATGCTCGGGTGAATGATCATATTAGGCGATTACATACAGACGATATATTTTCTCGCCAAGAGAGGAAGGGAAGATTGATAGATTGAGATTGATTGACTGATTGATTAAGATTAATTTTCTTTATAATACAGTTTCGATTATTCGAACTGAGCAGATTTTTACAATAAAGCTTCGACTCTTCGAATAATAAAAGTAAAAGTCCGCTTAGTTCGAAGCTGCATTATAAAGAAAAGCAATCTTAATCAATCGATCAATCTCAATCTCTAAATAAATCTCAGTCTGATAGAATTGATTACTTTTAAGCGAATATTTATTTATTCAGTCTTTTATATTTTAAAATGCATTTTTAATAATAAACAATAGAATAAAAACCATAGAAACCGTACGATAAGAATGAATTTAACTTTGACTCGCTTATACATTTCTAACACAATCTACCGATCTTTCTTCTTCTCTTGGCGAAATTGGCGGCGGTACGAATTCAAAGATCGGTGTCGTACCAAGCCGCCACCTGGTTGTTATCTTGGGGCGGTGCGGGAAGCTCTTCCAAATGATCGAAACTCAAATCACCCTCGTGCGCCACATCCATAGTATCCATTGCGCCGTACGTCGAACCACCACCTATCTCCAACCCTTGCATGGAATCTACTGGTATCTGGTCATAACCTGTCGTACGGAAAAGATATGTTGTTAACGGTTCGGGTTTTTATCGCTCGTACAATAATTACACAGATAAAAATTGACATTGCACACGGTGGTGCGGAACTTTATTGATCAGTTAAGCATAAAGAACTTTGTAGTATATTAGCTTTTGAGATATATAGTTTGCTACACGTCATCAGACTACTCTTTTTTTTTCCTAATGGCTATCGTGTAACACTTAATTCGATTACTTCACGATTATGACACCAACATATTTATTAATTAATTTGTGATTCTTTTTTTTATCATAAATATTTTGTAACAAATTGCAGGACAAAAACTATCCAGTGACAAAAGCTACTTACTAAATAGTGCTAAATAAATAATCACAGGCAGATATATGGTATAGATACGTAATCAAGTCTCCGCAGGGTTTATCTCTGTATTCCTAACGAGTTTATCTTGTGAAGTGAAAAGGAAGAAGTTCAAGAGGAGAGATAATGAATGCGTTTAAAATACCGCGGAAACTTGACAAATTAAAAAAAACTCTTAAGCCTTTGGTTTTAATTAAATACATAACAAAATAAGCGATACAATATAACATTAATTTCATGCTATTATAAAAAAAAAAAAGAATAAAAAAGCGTCGCATTATTAATGTTTCCAAGAAAACCTATGACAAATATACAATACTTCCTTTTGGAGAGGCAACTGTATTGGGAAATTCTTTCTCTCTCTATTTTTTTTTTTACTTACAAACATCATCCTTCTATACGACTCCTCCACCACAAAGCGCATATTGTTGCGGAAAGAAACGGATAGAGGAGTAAATGTATACGCATGCAAGAGAAAGTGTAGAAGCAGAGAATTATAGATGAAGCGGCTTAAACATCGCAACACTACGCATACTTGAAACGACGATAATTTCAAATAAGAAAAGGTGTTTCGAAACAGGTAGCATGCAGTTAATACCGACAATAGATTAGACGTCACCTATTTTACTGCGAGATACTGTTGATAGCCTGTATTTTAATTTAAGTCCATGGGTTAAGCTGCTGTTAAAATAACATAACACGATTAAATGCATCGTTTTATTTTAGAAGTAAAATGTCGGGGAAGAATTGGATAAATCAATTAAACTCCCACGTATTTACAATTTGTCATTTTATGATTATATATACATAAAGGCATTTACGCAGAGCGAAATATTATTTTTATGACCAAACTCCCTCTATCTACCCTCTCGAGTAATAAGTTGATTATTTAAAAGCGACATTCAATGAACCAAATGGATAACACAAAAATTACCTTGAGGTTGATAACCCCGACCGCCATGGCTGCTGTGTACACTAGGAGGTCCTTGGCCATACATACCATCATAGCCTTGATCAGGGCCAAGCATGTCCTGAAGATTAGGTAGCTCAGGTCAACACAAAGCATATCGTCTAAGGGAGGCGTGTCATGACGCCCCAAAATATACGGCGAGATACGCGTTATAGTTGGTAAGTCTCGTACATTAATAAAAACGGCTAAGGGGCTTGCGTGAACAATAATAATAATAAAAAAAAGGACAACTTGAAATAAATATCTGCAGAAGGGGGAGAAAACACATTCCCATGCACATTATAATCTTGCAAACTATTAATTAAACTAAGATTCTATTTAAAAAATATCGTATCCGTTGTTTCCTCAAGCGTTATCTCCTTTAATTTCTACTTTTAACGAATATAATATAAATATATTGATATAAAGATGTCATGTATAACTGAAAACTCTCTTCGAGCATAATAAACTTGTATGTTATAAAGCTTGTAAGCATGAGTTTAAAATTCATATGCACATACAAATTAATGTAGTATTAATTAAAATATATATATATATATATTAAAGTGCACTTTGCGCGAGAGAAGCAAACATTTAAACTGTTGATGAAATGTTTATCATAATACTTGTTAAGCGACAAAATGTAAAATCATATGAAATTAGTTTTAACGCATTATAATACCGGCCATTTCTGTAAAATGTAATGATAAAAGTTTAAAGCGTGAAAATTGCTGGACAATGAAAATTAAACGCTGTAAAAACACAAATGAGAAACACAAATGAGAACTGCAGATGCCTTAGTGGTGCAAAATTGGAATAATGGACAATTATATCGTACATGGCTTATAAACAGCTGTGCTCAGAATTAATCTTACATGGGAAAAACCTTGTATATAAATACCTGGATTTATAACTAGAAAGGGGTGGGGTGTCTCTACGACCAATAAGAGCTATTATCATAACGTGGCACAATTTACTCAACACAATGTAACGACCTAAAAGTATTTAACAAATTTCTATGCTACATCATAATGTATCTCTATTGAAATCGCATTACAAACCTGATTCCTGGCAGGTACTTGAACAAAAACAACTATAACAGACGAAGCCTGCTCTAGCAAGTAAACAAAAAAAAAAAAATACTTACTATGTTACATAGTGTTGGCAAGTAAATATATTTCGCCACGGAACGAGATGTTTGACATGCATTAGTCTAATTTTTTTATAACACCTGTAGATCTGGAGCCATGGTGAAGTCTGCGTTGTTCCACAAGTTGTTTGTGTCCTCACGGAACAAGGAATTCGTCAGTTCCATGGAAAGTCGTTTTTTGTATTCCTGAGGCTTGTCTTCGCTCATACGGAACAACACCGCTGCTGCGTAAGTGGCGACACCCTCATTCCTGGAGTGCAGCAAGTCTGTCAATGGGGCAGTGGCACCCTCGTGCTCTATTAATTCGGCGCCTTCCTTGTCGGCCGCCAGTTCGCAAAGTACACCGGCCGCCACGCGTTGAATATTTTCGATCTCGTTAAACAGTAACTGAAAGCATGAAAAGTAGAACCGTATTATTAGAAGAAATCGATAAAAATTGTGCCATGATAAAAATAGAACAGTTCCTATTTTATTATTATTTTAGATTTCTAGCGATATGAAAATTTAGAAAATAAAAATGTATGCTGAGAGAACCGTTTTCGTGAAAATAACGATACGTACTCGTACGAAAATTGGAATCACGTTCTGTGATCGAATTATCGCTCTGTTATGGGACTCTCTCGCCAGAATGTGAAGCGCTCCCACTGAACCTTCCACTATCTCATCCATGCGCACTCCATCTGCATACGCGCCCGACGGCTGTTGGCTGCCGGTACTAGCGACAGATGACCGTTGCTGCAAATACTACATATGTTAAATGTGTAACACTGTATATTAAATAACGTTATTCTACACAATAATAAATCGTGTCGTGAATACTCACTCGTTCTGTGTCTTGGAATGCACGCATCAAAAGTCTTATGAGATGATGTATTGCTCCGTTATCGCGTAGTGGACTGTGATTCGCGGGGCACAGAGCCAAATTGCGGATTAAACCAATCACCGCCTTCACTAACGGCCAGCGAGATGGTGGATTTAATAATTTAACTATAACTGTAATTCCGTAATTCATTCGTACTGCATTTTGCGCCATTTCCGCTTCGCCGTGACGCGAAGTCAAGTGACGCAATGCGCACACCGCCGGTTCGGTAATTTCCTCTCGATCGCCGGCGTTGACAATCGTGCGAACGAGAGCTTCGACACCTCCGTAATTACACACCATAACCTAAAAAAAAAAAAATTCAAAAAATTAATCTCTGCCAGATGTATCATGAGAGTCGTGCCAAGTATTCCAACATACCTTGTTGCGTTGATTGTTGCAAGTTAAATTTGATAAAATGCCAGCCGCGCATGTGACGACATTCACGTCCTCTGACCCGAGTACAAGTACGAGACTTTGCAGCAGAGCGTCCAGCCCCTCGACTTTTGTGCCTGCGTCTGACAAATTACGTAATGTCCATAAACAATTTTGCACCAATCGTTGACTCTGATTCGTGAGATGCATCGCGAGTGCTTGCATGCCGCCTGCTTCTACGATGGCGGGTTTATTGCTCGGGCAAACAGACAGTACTGAAAACAAAGTAAATCGCTGATTAATAAAAGTAAAATTCAATCCATTATCAAATTATTACAATAATTTGTAAATTTACCCTTTAACACTCTCGATGTGGTCCACAACAATTTCTCGTATTCATAAGAGCGCATGATGCGCACTAATTCTATGGGACCCTGTGAAGCAAGAATGATTAACTTGCTTTCCTGATTTCCGTATGCCAAAATCTGTAGACAATCGGTAACGATGGCCAAGAATTTAACGTTGTTGCGTTGCAGTAGAGCGACCATCTTTTGCAATCCACCGGCGAGACGTACGGCCATTTTGGAGCCATCCTGATGGAGCAGCAAGTTATGAAGCGTCGTTATTGCGTAAAAAAGAACGGATTCCACTGGAGAGCTTAGCAGCTTTACGAGTGCGGGAATGCCGCCGCTCTTGAAAATGGCCAGCAAGCCTTGTCTGTGATGTGATAAATTGTGCAAGGTGCCGACCGCGGCCTTCGTCGATTCTAGATCGTCGCTGTTAGAGATTGCTCGCACCAATGCGGCCACCATTTGCGCACTGTTCATGATAGCGTGACGAGAGGCTTCTTTCTTAGATAATTGATGCACCATCATAGCTGCCTGAGAAACGACCACTTGATCTTCATCGTTCAGGAGCTTAATTAATTCGGGAATAGCGCGAGTGGCGAGATCAGCGTCGTCCTGATAATTGATCAAATTAACAACAGCGTGCTTCAACATTTGGCTCGGCTCTGCCAATCTTTGTACAGCGGTGGGCTGCGCCGGGTCGAACTGTGTGGAAGGTATCTCCACACCTTCCTCCAGCGTTTCGGGGAACATGGCAGCGCGCACACGCTGTGACCGAGTGTGATTTAGCTGTTGATTCATCTCTGGAATATACAAACTCTCAATGAGAACGAACGATATTTAAGTTTGCAGTGTTAAGCCAATTTACAAGAAGACAGTCTCACCGTCAACTTGGTCCTGTGTAAAACCCTGTGCAAATCCTTGGTCCAGATCAAACATCAATTGATCCCCTTCCATCTCTTCGTCCTCTTTGCCTGAAAGAGATGGCGCCTGAGTGACGGCGCCAGAATGGATGCCTGAATCGTTCATGTAGGAGTTTTGCTGCCACATCAGTGTCTGCTCCTTGGCAGAACCCATGGGCAAGTCGCCCGGGCCCTGATAATTCCCTTGAGACACTACAAAGCCAAATAAATGTAAGGATCCGATCTCGTTTATATCTTAAAATGATCAAATAAATCACGCAAATGCGACTTACTTGGTCTGGACTGATTCGTTGGCATTGGATAACTCATGTCTTCAACGAATGAGTTTGCCTCCTGTAATGAAGCAATATTTAAGATAAACCTGCAAAAATCTCCTGTAATGAAGCAATATTTAGACAAAGCTGCATGTTTCACATAAATTTATATTATACTTTATACGCAAATGCTGATTACGCAAATTTCTCTGAACTATCCTGAAACTTGGAGCTTTTAAATACCATTTCTTGCAGTGCAATTTGTCGGTCTCAATATTCCTTCGAATTATTTCAATTATGCAAAGGAAACAACAATGTAAAAAGACAACACGCAAGATAATGCTTTCTTATCTGCGAGATCGAGTCATATCCGGTTCACTGGCTTCGACGAAACGCGCAAATACTTGTAACGCGAATCGTTCGAAAAATTTTTCCAAACAATAAAAATAAAGATTTTTCGAAATCGATTTAAAATAGGGCGTACGCTCTCATCGAAATACCTGCTTACATGTATCGACAGCGTTTGTGACAGGGGTAGTGCGCGACACTACGATGGGTCAGTGCATCCCGTTTCGATGCGGAAAGATGCTCTCGTGCGGAATGTGGGCACGATCGAAGGGTCTCCCCTCTTTTCATTCTTTCTCTTCCCGTCTCTGTCTCGCTCTCTCCCACATCGCACAGCTTTGAGTGCCGCACGGCCGGTTACGAATCGAATACGCGTTTCTCAGCGTGCCGTTGTACTCGCCAATATGATGATATGATGATGCGGAATCCCCGTGGAATGCAGAAAGAGCGAGACGCGCGGTCTTACACGGCACACTAAGCCACCGAGAATGCGATGTATCACCATTTTCTGACAATCGATGGGGCCGCGTGGGAGGGGAAGAGAGAGAGCGAAAGAGCGAGAGAGAGAGAGAGAGAGAGAGCGAGAGAGTACAGTAGCAAAGGGAGAGGCAATTGACATGTGTGCGTGCATGTATAATATGACAGAGACGAAACGAGCGAAAAAGTGGTCGTAGGAGCGACCGAGAAGGGAGAAGGGTATAATCTCGAGAAAGAGAGAGGCTGGCCGCTAGACAAAGACGGAATATGGATTAACGAACGCCGACGAAGCGAACGTTCTGTCGGCAAAGAGAGTTTATCTCGCGGGATATTAGCCGACACCGATGCGCATGTCGTGTCCAGCGATCGACTCGGAATCCAAGGGTTCGAACCGATGAACCATTTCATGTTTCCCTTAGCGAGATCGTAAATGACGAGAGTCACGGTATGCTGTCGCATACTTTTGTCAACAAGCGTCATCGCTTACACGAAAGATGAATAAGCCCTACGTGTACTTACTGGATATGGTCGGAATTATCTCTCTCCGTGTACTCTGATGACAAAAAACTTTGACACACCCAGTGTAAACACTCGCGACGTAGCACTTCTTTTTCCGAACGGGCTGCGAACTCGCGCAACGGAACTGCAGGCGCGACTTACTGTGTTGCGTCGCGACCAGCTCACACCTCACCGCGCGTAACTCCGACAACGACGGATCGCACTACAAAAGATGGCGGAAAGTGGCGGAAAGCGACGCGCAATCGACGCGACGCGCAATCGACGCGACGCCAACGCCGCCAACGCAGCTGCGCCGATCCAGAGAAGCGCGCCAGGGCGATGAGACTGGATGGAACGAATGGAGCGAGAGATGGATCTCTCTCTCCGTCTCTCTTTTATTTTCTCATCTCGGCCGGCTCGGGGCATCGAACCGCCCACCTCTTTGACGTTTGGTTCAACTGCGAAAGCTATATTGTTCCCGGAAGAAGTCACATGATACTTCTGAACGGATCCAAAAGAGATAAGGATTTAAGGTGTTCGCCCATTGTGCTTGACGAGAAGAGAAGCGCGATGAAGGGAAGCGTGGTTTCAGGGGCATCCGCCCACTGGAGCGCGGAGAGACGAAAAGAAGCCCTCGTGGCACAGGTTGTGCACGCACACAACTCAATGAATTTCCTATACCACACGCCATAATCACTACAGTACAAAGTTTATCGTTGGGAAGTAGGTTGTTAAATATTAACGAGACTGATTTTTTTAAAGTGATATAAAAAGCATTTAAATTTTCAGAAATGATATACTTATTATTTTACATATTCCCCCCTGGAATTTAAGACATTTTTCCCAAATTTCTGGAATATTCTTTTCAAAAAAGGTTTTTGGCTGAGTACGTATTCAATTTTGCACGTAGTCAACGAGAATGAGGTTCATTGTCGACGCGTTTACGTCCTTATTTGAACATATCACACCACTTAAACACTTGAGACTACTTGAAAAACAATCATTTGTAAACTGTTTTTTCAACTTTCATAAATTTTAATTGATTTTATCATTTGAACCTGATTCTTTTTAGATGTGTGTAAAAAGACGCACTCAGTTAAAAATCTTTTTCGAAAAGAGTATAAAGAAATTCCTAGAAATTTGAGAAAAATGTATCGAACTCCGAAAGAAATATGTAAAACAAGAGGTGAACTATTTCTGAATAAATGCTTTTTATACTACTTTAAAAAATCAGTCTCGTTATAATACCTTCAAAATAAACATTTCAAGAGACGGCAAGCAAGCAACAGCTACAACAGCACACAATAACCACGATAAGAAAAATGCACATGCCTTCTCTACCTAGCGAGAGAAAATTCGCCCAACAATAGCTGAAAGTTTACGAAGAGTGACGAAAATATTTTGACTTTTCGCTTCTCCTACCCACTGCTCATTGGTGGAGACGAAGAAAGGCGACGGAAGAAATTCTTTTCTCTTCGCTTCTTTCCGCCGCGTCACAGTGGACGAGCACCTTTAGCCTTTTAAATAGAAAAGCTTCATTCATTTTGCGAATTTTTACATGTATTAAAAATGTTCATTTAATTCAAACAGATTTTACACCGTTCTGAAAGAAATTTGTTTCCCTTCCTTTTTTTAGTGTAAAATCAAATTTGAAATTAATGAAATATATTATTAAACGTAATGTGATAAATAATTATAAATAAAATAAAAAATGTAGAACTAAATTATAATATTTTGTTAAGATATAAATTATTTTATGTATTATTACATATCTTTCCACACAGCGATGCGCCTGCAGTCTGCAACTCAATGAACAGAACAGCATGTCGGGACAGAGATCTTAGGTGCAAGAATAAAATGTAAGATGCAAGAAATCGTTCAATCATAGGACGATGCAACGTCTCGGTTCACGTGCAAGACAGACAAGGCGCTCGCGAAGTTTTTGACCGAGGAACGATGATCGCGCGCGCAAGAGACAGCAATTTTTTAATGGATTCGCGGGTATTTGTCCGGCCGCGCGACTCGAAAATTCCTGATCGAGCCCGGCGAGTAAATCGTACCGGGCGGACAGCCAGAATGCGCACAAAATAACAGACACTGGAGAGCAAAGTAAAATATACTGGCCGTTTGGCGGGAACACCATTTGTTATCGGCTGCGCCCACGCCGATTAATTTTCGGATGCGTGATGGTGGTAGCGTTCCTTCCGTTTCGAGCGGTGATGATACATTTTATGTCTGCGCTGATATTAAGCGGATAACTGAAAAAAAGTGGAAAAATTTCCTTCAAAATATACGGCGACCGACCGGTGAAATACAGCCGCGAAGCGCGCGATAAATCCGCGCGGATCCGTTGCCGTAATTAATGATAAATATCGATTAAATTTTTACAAGTGAGTTCGCCGGTTGAAATACCAGTAGATCGAGCGCCGCGTTTTTTAATTATTCCCAGAATCTATGATCGATGCACATCATTGTTTTATATACGATTCTGTTTTTGTCGCTCTATCTTCTGACTCTCTTTTCTTTCTCTCTCTCTCTTCCCCCCTCTCACTCTCTCTCTTTCTCGATGGAATATGTATCATCGCTTCCGAAGCTTCATAAAATCCTGTAAAACCAACATTTTAGTTGAACAATTTATCATGATAAAAATGCAGAGATAATAAACTTGAACTATATTTTTGATTGGTAAATGCATTCGGCATCGATAGCGCGTTTATGCCGGCTCGCTTCATAAAATATACGACTCATAATTGTGAGAAGTATCTAACGGTAATCCGTTGGATAAACGTTAGGCAAATATTTATCATGAAGATGCACCTTTGCTCGGCAATAAAACCAGACAGTTTATGACGCCTATCACTCGCAGAACCTCTCTTTCTCGCGCCTCTTTGTGCGCGTACATTTTCACCGAGTGGAAAAATATTTGATCAGTAAGACTTAGCGACGGACGTAATTATATACCTGTTAACGAATGAAATATCACCGAGTCGAGGAAAGACACTTTCTGATTTATGAGTGGGAGTCTTATTCGAGAGGGGTAGAACTTCGTGCGGCGCCCTGATAAGTGTCGCCGATAATATGCTAATAATGATTTGTGGTGATGGGGACTTCCGTGTTAATCTACGTAAACGCCACGAAGTCGATCCGCGCTGGGAATTTAGAGTGTTCGAACGTCCTCGGTGAAAAATACCGTGGCATTCCTCATGCTGAATTGAAGGGGATCGTTAATCATCGACGGGCGATGCCGTCCATGTGTCTCGAATCCTTCTTGAATTCCTCGACCTAATTTTGCCATATATTATTCTCATTTCCTTACATTTTCATTTTTCTCAGATTTATCTTATTTTTCCTCCGCTAATTTCTTTAGCCTGTTTCTTTATCTTTTTGATCAAAATTTATATCGGATTGTTTCTTCCACAAAATATTTATTAATTCATGAATCCTTTTGCACAGTTATCATAGAAAGATGAAATTAACACGCGCAAGAATGAAACGAAAAGAAAATAGAAATTTTCTCCTCGAAATTATATAAATTACTGGAATATCCGTTCTATTCGATAGCATATCCAGTGAAATTTGTCATACGAAACAAGAAATGATGCAGTGTGTCAGACAAAAAAATCTCGATTTTCTCGCGCGAAGGTGCTTTACGTAAGTACAATATATTGAACAGGCAAACACTTTTACGATGATTCACATCGGAAGAGGAGAATGTACACGCTTTTTATACGAGAAAGGCCTATTTATGCACACGCCACTCCGCCGCGGTATCTTCTCGTAGGTTTCATTTATTTATGAGCCTAAGAAGAGGACGATCTAGCCCACGCTTCGCCATATCGAGCACATTGCTCCCTTTATTCAGATTGGCGAAGTCGCACGTTGCCTACTTTAAATACGGTACGGTGACACGGGGTAAAATCATCGCGGTCGTTTGTTACCATGCGTTTTACCAGCCGCGCGCTGTGCAGCACCTTTCACATCGGAGGATATCTCGATAATAATATTGTTGAAAGGATGTGACAACGAAAGTAAGTATATGCCGTTTTGTCTGTGTGGTTATACTATTTGTGCGACAAACCATGTTGTATTTCATCTAAAAACATTTTAAAAATTAACATTAAGCGGATGGTTGTAGGAAATTTCGTATAAAAGCAATTAAATATTCGTAAGTTTTCGTAAATTGTTATATAATACGGTAACTTATTTGTATGATTAAATCTTGAAATCAAAATGGCCGTCTTTTTGCAAGCGCAACATACATTTGTAGAATCAATTTTGTGATAAAAATTGCACAAAGTTTGTTAATATATTGTTTTACTTACATTAGCAAATGTATAGTTGCTATTTTCACAATATCGTTCTTGGATCCACCAGCACTTTAAATAATCTCTAAATATCTCTCTCTTTATCTAATCTCTATGCTAACAGGAAAATCTGGCCTCTCTCTCATAACAATATGATAAGTTCTTCCTTGATATTAATCTTCTGCAAACACTAAGAAAATGTTAGATATAAATCAAAGAAAAGATAAAAAAGAAAAAGAAAGAATACATGCAACGTCAAAGATTTCAGTATGCAAACAATTTGTTATATCTTACGAGTATTTTTTACTGATGTTTCAAATCCTAATTAAAGATTTTTCAATTATTCTCAAATTATGTTGACAGAAACTTGATAGACATATGTACATACGTTTTGAATGCACAAGAATAGCTTATATGTTTATTCAAGAAGCACTTGCGTGGATCCTAGAGCATATAGATAAGCCACTTAAGAAACGCTCATTGCCGTTGGTCAGCATACACAGTGTATTGCCACTGTGTAATCTGAGTCTGTCATTGCTTCAAATGCACCAACACACAAACACACTAATTAATACAGTTTACTTATACAGCATACTCGAGTTTTATAAACACAATGCTCTTCAAATGGGCAATATACAATTCACAGTAATTAACCACAGTAATTGCAATCGTATATACTCGTTAATTAATGCTCTTCGATGATTGCCTGTTATTTAAGTATATATAGGATGTCTAAAAAATTATCATTGCAATTATGAAGCCATATGAATAGACGCAGTTACGTTTCACGTTAAATTACAAGCAACAAACGAGTATGTCATGTCATCCTAACCTGTAAATTCGTCGGCTGGTAGAGATTGTTCCGCGTTTTTGTAGCATTTTATTGTAAGAGTTAATTTTATTCTTATAATCGAGCGATGATATCACTCATCTGAGATAAATCCGATTTTGGACTCGTCGAAAGTGGTTTCAGCTTTTAGATAAAAATCTCATTGTTGTCTTTTATCGCACCTTTTCGACGTGCAAATATTGACAATTATATCGACCGGTGGTGCTCATATCGAGTGCAGTCCGAGTGATCCCGAACCGAAACCGAAGTCGATCGATGATATTGCCACGAATTGTGTACGAGTCAATGACCGGCCTTGTCGCGGCCTTCCACCTGTTACTCACGTGATCAGCTGATCGTAGTACCGTAATAGTTACGTAATATTATGCATGCGTGCACACGTACGCGCGCACACACACTTATAAACGGTGCGCCCGCGCTCGATTTTTAAAACGTTATAACTCGGTGAAAAATTGACGTAGCGACATGCGACAAAAACGGTTCTTCTGTGCTTTGCATCCCGCACATGCCTATACCAAATAAATATACTCTTATCATGACACGTTATATGTATTAACAAAAAGATATAATCGTGCAAGGGACTAGATGACTTTCTTCCGCGAGTGACATATTTTCTGTCGATATTTCTAAAATGTGGTGAGACCTTGTGCGACTACGAAGAGATTTGTAAGCAAGTAAGCCGGCCAGGTCGGCCGAGTGATAGATGCCTGTTCAACAACGTGTCTCCCCACCTACGCGGAGCGCGTTGCTGACACGAGCGCTTATGTCTGCATAAATTCTCATTTAAGACTCGATAATAAAGTAAGCACACAAGGGGGGACGGACACGTGTTACTCGGTTCGGCGAGTACAGTCCGACCGATAGATCACCGTGAAACGTGGGACAAGAAATCAGGATCGATTTGCAAAATTGTAGGAATCTAATATCTACTTTTAATGCGCAAAGTTTTACTTACAATTAGTTGAAACGTCAATTTTTCGAAATTAAATTTCAACAATATAATTTTACGTTCATTAATAAAGAAAGCCTAAAAGCCTAAATTACCTAAAAGTTTAGTATTTTTCCTGACCTATTTAAATTAATTTAATTTTTTTAATATTGAAAGCAAAGCTCTTTATTTTCTCTTTCAGAGTGTATTAGCGCACTGTGCACCCGATCTTGCGAGAAATAGCGAAGAAAACGGATGGTTGAAAGTTTTTTTTAACGATGGGATGGCAGATTCCATCGATAGTACTAGTATATATTTACTAGGTATATATTTACGCGCTATATAAGGGACACATAAGCGCTCATACGTTATACAAAGGCGTCTTGTACGAGCGCGTGGCAAGACGCGGCATGCTTAATTATATGCATTCTCGGAATCTGTGCGGATCCGCCTCGCCTAATGCTCGTGTACATCGCAACGCTTCGTGTTTACGCGTTGAAAGGAAGAAAGGTATGGCGCGCCATGCCTTATTTACAGCCCTCAGTCGTATAATGCGAGAATATCGGCGTCTCTACTCTTTCTCGAAAACTCGGACTAGAAACGATCTCAAAAACTTTAAAAACTTTTTACGAAAAAATAAAAATCTTACATACATCAAGTAAGATGTCCTTAATGTATAAACGCAAAAAACTTACATCAATTATTTCATTTCCATCGCAAACATAGAGATCACTTTCACATATCTGTAAAATCAAAATCTGAATTTACTGATATTACATATCGCTTATTCAACCGTTAATTTTAATACTTGAATTTACTTTGATAGAAATTCGCTTTGCTTCGTCAAAGCTTTCCCTCGCGCATTCGATTATTTTTTGGAGTTCTTCGCGCAACTTGTACGTTAGACGGAATGAAAGACGGTTATTTTTGCGGCAAGTCCAGGACGCGAATAGGTGGAAATGACCACTGGCCTCCCGTGGGAACGAAAGAGCTGGAGGGAGGCGGAGTGAGCTTTCAACGGGTACACAGTCGTATAGTCTGGCGCGCTTGATGGAGTAGTCTCGCGGCTAATGTCGAGCGAGGGTGAGTACAGGCCGCGACGTGGACGACGAACGATGCCTGATTCATCACCCTCGCCTCGGTAGACGGTGGGCTCACGCTACTCCCAAGACGCAGACAAATCAACGTACATTCGAAAATCGGAGGAGGAAGCACACGGCGGCCAGGACCTGACCGTCAGGATCGATTGTAACCGGCGCTCCCGCGGGAAGGAATCTGACTGCTCGCTGTATCCTTGAAGAGGATCGCTGACCTCAGCATTCGACTACAGATTCGTAATGTGATGCAATTCGTCACTTTCGACGAACTAACACATTTTATTTGATCTAATTTCTCGTTGAAAATAATCAGTTTATAATCTCGGATTATTTGTTTTTTTAATAAAGAAACGTTCTTGGGAATGCTGTCAAATAAAATTGTTTGTCAAAATAATGTTTTAATAAAACAAAGTGCAAAACAATAGTATATAATAGATAATTAATGTTATACAATATATTTCTACAATTTTTTCTATCAAAATAATATTTTTCTTATCTTTCCATATGCATATTAAATTTACTTAATAGAAATAAAATCAAAATTATGATTATTAAGCAATAATTGTTAATTAAATATTTGCAAAAAATATTTGATATGCATATGTACCACAGTTTCCAATCTTTATTTGTTTTTTCTTTTTACATTCATACTTGATAAATTAAATTGTTCTTTAAAAGCATTAGCTAAATAGATATTTAAAATATAAAAGTATATATGTATAAGTACATGAAAATTGTATAAAATATATAAATGTAAAAAGTATAAAAATACTAAATAAAAATTTGAAATATAAATACATTACATTAAAACTCGAAAAATTAAAACATTACATTAAAATTTGAAAAATAAAAACATTAGATTAAAACCTAAAAAAATAAAACATTACATAAAAATCTGAAAAATAAAAACATTAAATTAAAATTTAAAATATAAAAAATAAAGATTACGAAAAATAAAGACATCAAATTAAGATCTGAAAAATGAATATAGATAGAGATAGTCGTCAACAAACTACAAACTAACTGCCAAGGCAGAAGTTTCAAAATTTATCGATGCAAAGAATTATATAGAATGTAAAATTTGTAAAAATCTAAAAATTCTACCCAAATGGAAATTTTCTACCTAATGGAAAATCCTACTTAATAAAAAATTCGATCTAATAGAAAATCCTACCTAATACAAAATATAAATACTTCAAAAACTCGAAAACTACAAATCAAATGAATCGATAAGATCTAACGAGATCGAGAACTGCGAATAAATATAAATAGAAGTATGAGAATCTGAAAATTAAATCCCATTTCGCGTTTTACGTACTCGTGTGCACAAATATCTCTCAGCAGAGAGAAACTCGAGAAAGAGTTTTTCGCGGAACAGTTTGGCACTTTTTTACAGAACCGCTTGCGGCTTTTTCGCGGGACCGCTTGGGACTTTTTCGCGAGATGCTTAGCGCAGAGCTCAGCTCAGTTACCGCAATTTGCATTTGTAATATGAGAGGCAGTTTTACGCACGACGGTTTGAGAGTTTTTTGCGGGACGCTAGCGCACAGCTCAGTTCAGTTTCCACTAGTTGTGTTCTAAATTTGTGTTGATAATCGACCATTATTCAATGATCGATCGTATCAACATTGTTTCGAGATCCATGCTCGATGGGACCATAAATTTCGAATTTCCGTGCTCGACCATAGGATAAATTAAACTATGGGACCACGGATGTATGGTAGGCTAGAAAAGATTACAAAGAAATTGGCGTGTAACAAGAATAAATATATTTAAATATCAAAAGTCCGTTAATCAAAAGTGCACTCTTTTATGAAATTATTTCAATTCTTTTATGAAATTAATAAATTATTTCAAATGTAATTTCAATTTTTTATTTTCAATTTATATTTACATCTATGTATTTCAAAATTTTTTACTTTTATACTTTTCAACGCCAATTTGTACAATATTTAACCCTGGAAAGATATAAAAATACAAAGTACTTATCGTATTTAAGAAAAAGGAAGGAAGAGAGATGAAAGTATGCACATAAACACAGGAAAAAAAAAATTTCGCTATCGTATGAAATTATCGTTGCTATTGCATAGATGTAATCCACTCTTAAAAAAGGCATAAAAGATCGATACTCGAATGTATCGAAATCTCGAAAGTATCGAAGTGTATTGTTGCATTTTTATCGCGACGCTGATTGGTTATCTCAATGTTGTCATGTGCAAAAGTATATTTTGACAGTTCATATTTAAATGGTTGTCAAGGCAATATTGATTAGCAATTTATTGATTAGCAATTTATAAATGTTTCTATGATACTTGTTTACATTTTCAAAAGCTGTCAAATTGTACAGACGTATTCTCTGTTATTTTTTTAAAAAGAGTGAAAAAAGAGTGAAAAAAAGTAGAAAAAAGGAGAAGGAAAGGATAAAAGGAAAAAGTAAAAAAAAGGTAAAGTAATAATTTTAAAAATTCTCATACCTATAGCGCGCACCACTTCCAGTACATGCTTTCCTCTCCGTATTTATTATTTGTCATTTCAAATTAATATGCTTTCGCTTCTTGTTAGACATTTATTCTTTACTTAAATTTAAAAAAACTGCACCGCTGTGATCTATCCAATCATTTTGTTACATGCTAAATTTTGGTAACTGCACATTGCATAATAATTGTATAATCTTAAATTACACAAATTTATCAACTTTTTAAACACTATTTTTGATGCATGATTAGCATTATGATATAATTTTAATGTAATAAATTCTTGAACATAAAATAAATTCTAAATTATTGTGGAATAGCAATTAAAATATACAAAATATACAGGCCAATAAAATTAATATTAAAAATTATAAGATGCGATAAAATATTTAAATGGAAAGTAGATAAAAAATTATTTTTTTATGTGAACAAAAACAAAATAATTACAACGAATAAGATTTGCATGTGATTTATAAACGTTTATAGATTTCAAATTTTAAGTAGCAATTCCAAATTATATTAAACTGTTTTAAATAAAAAAAGACTTTTAATTAAATTTTCAAACTAAAATATATTTGCAACGCTGGTAAATGTTGTTCACTGAATCAAAAATTTCAAAATTTATTTAAGAAATAAATTTTTAGATTCTGGTTTCCTCCGTCTTATCTTAATTATCTAATTGTAAGTCAATCCGTTAAAAACGGTGATACTTTCGTTACGCTTTTCGTTCCAATATTTGCGTTTTTGAATATATTATATAATTAATTAATTATTAATTAATTAATTATTCTATAATTTTTTCAAATTTCAAGTCCTTAATTACATTATTTAAAAATTTTAGAGAAATGAATTTTAACAAATATCATCTAGCAATTGCAAATATCTCAAAGTCGATCTTTCAAATGGAGATTGTTGCTTGTATAAAATTAAGTCATCAATGTATTTTAATTTCATACAAATAAAAATTTTTATTTGAGAGATCGACTTTGAAAGATATTTGCAATTGCTCGATGATATATGTTAAAATTAATTTCTCTAAACATTTTAAATAATGTATGTATAAATAATAACAAGAAGATAGCAAATAATTTCAGCATTAACGATTTTGTGCTTTGATTAATGTATAATATTTTTTTTACATTGGCTGGATAGCTTAATATTAAAACGGTTTCAGCATAAAAATAGTAAATAGAATATCAAATTATAATTATTAGCTCAATATTAAGCTATCCAGGCAATGTAAAAAAAAAATATTATGCATAAGTCAAAGCACAAAATCATTAATGCTGAAATTATCTGCTATCTTTTTGTTATTTTTTATACGTACATTATTTAAAAATTTTAGAGAAATTAATTTTAACAGATATTAGCGAGCAATTGTGAATATCTTTCAAAGTCGATCTCTCAAATAAAGATTTTTATTTGTATGAAATTAAAATACATTGATGATTTAATTTCATACAAACAACAATCTCCATTTGAAAGATCGACTTTGAGAGATATTTGCAATTGCTAGATGATATTTGGTAAAATTCATTTCTTTAAAATTTCAAGTACTTAATTACATTATTTAAAAAATT